GCTCTACCAGTTGCGCCACCGTGCTGCCTTAAGCCCAGAATATAAATACACTAATTTCAGTTTAAATTCAGTTCAGTTTATTTATAAAGCACCGTCACAACAGAAGTCGTCTCAGGGCACTGAACAGAAACATTCACGTCCATTTTTTAAAAAGTCAATTAGTAAAAGTTTCCGACGGAAGCCAGCAGACTGCGATGAATCTCCACTTCGTCGCAGTCTGATGACAACACAGTGATTAGTACAGCACAGTACAATGAATTTTGTGCATACTATGATTATTGTTATGTTTATGCTTGTAGAAATAAATCTGTTTCAAACAATAAGAACAGCAGCACTTTGTTGCCATAAAACAAAATTAATCCCAAATTTCTACACAGACCTAAAAACATCTTACAAATGAGACAACTGTGCCTCGGCGTGACGAACTTGTACAAATAAACAAAATGAAATGTTTGGCGATGTTGTATGCCAACAGAAGCTGTGTTCGGGGCGTTACCGTTTTGACAACAGTGAGCTCCACTGGAGCCACATTTTTAAGTGACGACAAAAACAAAAGATAAAACAAGATCCCAGACAGAATTCCAATTTTGTTCTGGCCTTTGTCTGCCTGGGAGAAAATAAAACCGTCCATTACTCGTGAATATTTCTTTTTTTTATTTTTTTTTATTTTAAAGGCCAAACAGTTTATTATTAGAAAATAAAATTATACAGTTTGAATCACAGTAAAATACATTTGAGCTTTAATTTACTGAGCATTTGTTCAAACCAAAAGCCACGAATATAAAATGATTTAACGCACCAAAAAATAAAACACTGCAAATGATTTTTAAATGCGTTATATGATTATTAATTGGTTAAACAGAAAAAATGACTACATAAATAAAGTACCCACATGTACCCATAAGGCTGAACTGTGAATGTAAATAAGAATATTTTTTTCTGTGCGGTTGTGTAAACAAATGGACTCTTAAGTTCACTTTTTGCGAGTAAAATAAAAAAATAAAATAAAGTTGAACATGTCCCTGAAACAGAAGTCTTCTATCAGACAGCAACAAACTGGTTTTGTTGCACTTTATAAGAAATAAAAAAATACCTCCCTGCAATAAAACATGTAAACTGAATCACTTTGTGTTTAAAGTGGCACAAACCAGCCAAACCTCTACAGGATTGTAAACATTCCCACAATGAAAGCTAAAACTTGTAAGACTATTGCATATTCTGCAAAAATGCAGTATAAATACTGAGTGATAAATGAGTTTACTGGTATTTACGGATGAAGCTGAAACTGGAAGGTTAAAGCAAACAGAAACAGAACGCTAGCTACAAGCTAAATAAAGCCAAACGCTAGCGCTAGGCCAGAATTAGCTAAATGTTAGCTAAAAGTCCTGATGCATGCTCAACAATCCAGGTAGATATTAGACTCGTGAATATTTCTGAGGTTAATGAAGAACATGCACATCCCAACACGACTTCAGTGAAAGGCTTTTAACCTTTGATTCTGTCGGCCACCGGTCACAGCTTTCACTGGTCATTAGCTTTATTCCTGTCTGCTGGGGAACATTACGTTTTGTGGATGGGTGGTAAATAATACTTCGAAGTGAGGAAATAAATATATTTTTACTTTTACCATTGTGTCACTACTTTTCTTCCTGTTATCTAAAGACAGTGAGCAACTAAATATTAGGATAGCTGTTAATAATTATATGCAGTAAAGTAGGAAGGGATCAGAATTCCTCAAAGATAAGATGCTTGTTATCAGAATTCAGCTTTCGGCAGAGCAACAGCAATGACTTGCACTAGCTTCAAAAAACTGGAAAAATACATTGAATAAAATTTAAAACTTGACTTACAAATACAAGCTGCCATCATTACTGAAAGTAAGATTCATAATAAAGCTTTCTGGTGTAAAACAGAACCAGAAAATGCCTTTTATTTCCCACTAATAATAAATAAAACAGATAAAATCCCTGAATTGTTTATTAACTATGGCTGATGATGGACAAAAACACAACTGACTTTTGCTTCCAAGAATTGTTTTTATTGTGAGTAAAGATTTCAGGGTTACAAGGGGCAACCAGAAAAATTTGAGCTTCAACAAATCTTATGAAAACATCACAATAAAGAATATTAAGAATTAACTGGGGCATAAATAAAGAAGTTAAAAAAATGCAGTTATATCCATCCAGCCATTATCTTTCCCCGCTTCTTCCTTTTCGGGCTACGGGGGGTCACTGGTGCCCATGAAAATGAATAAAGAATTCATTTTTATTACAATTTTTAACCTAACTGATTTGAGCAAAAGTTTTAACTAAATTAAGTCAAGTCAAATATACTTATAAAGAACATTTAAAAAACAACAGATGTTTCCAAAGTACTTAACAATAAAATCAATGTCAGTATTTAAAGGAAGAAAAAAATTTAATTAAAAGCATCAAAAGAAAAACATAAAAGCAACAAAACAATGAAATAATACATCAAATCACACTGTGTTAAATCTGTGTTAATCTATTCGGATACGTACAGGGAGCCAGTGAAGGGAGGACAAAGCTGGTGAAATATGCTCAAACCTACGAGTTCCTGTTAAAAGCTGAGCTGCAGCATTTTGGACGAGCTGGAGACGTGAAAGGGAGACCTGACTGACCCCAACATAGAGCACGTTACAGTAGGCCAGTCAGGCTGTAATGAAGGCGTGGACTATTTTTTCCAAGTCAGATCTGGTCAACACGGACTTAAGCTTAACTATCTGCCTGAACTGGAAGATATTTTTTTTTATAGAACAAAGTTAGTCTGTTTATTAAACTTAAAGTCGGAGTCTAAAACCATCCTGAGATTTGTAACAGACTGCTGAAGATAAGGCTCAAGAGAGTCAAGGTTAACAGAAATAGCAGAAGAGCTAGGGCTAAACACAATGACTTCAGGTTTTTTTGTTTGTTTGTTTTTTGAGCCCATCCAGAGGATCTGACTTAACTTTTTTGGACATGAACTATTGGGTTTTAAGGGCAGATAAATCTGACAATCATCAGCGTAACAACAAAACGAAAGACATGTTTCCTCAATAGACCCCAAAGAGAGCAGATACAGTGAAAACAGAAGGGGTCCAAGAATCGAGCCCTGCGAAACCCCAGATAGCAGATAAAATATTACCAGCATTAACACAAAAGCTCCAAATCCAGAAAAACAGACCACATTATCAAGCTTTTTTTTTTTTAAAACCATACTCATGGAACAATAAAAAATGCACTCTCCTTTAATCTTATGTTTTTATGAATCAGGAAATAATCAAATGATACCAGAATCTAAAATTATACAAATCTAACCTCAAGTGCAACAAAGCAGCAGCTTTTAGAACAACCTATGGCATATCTTGATGCATGCTCAATAATCCAGGTGAATAAACAGGTCCTCTGGACAGATTCTTCTTTGTTGAAACGTTCATCTTTGATCCAAAAGACTTCTTCAGTATGAGACCCTGCAGCAAACTCAGTCTTATAAACAGCACCTTCTCATAATGGATAAACCAGTCTGCTGGTGACAGCCAAAACTAGTATGAAAAAGGAGGACCATCAGCCTCCACCCCTGTTTAACAATGGACGGGTTCTCTTTACAGAACTCGTCCATAAATAAGGATGGAGGCCTCCATGTTCAACTGTCCCCCCTCTTACTAAATTAATAATAAAGTATTTCATATTATTATTCACATATCTTAATAAAGTATTTTTGAATTGAATTGCAATGCTGTCATTGCAAGTATAATTCAGCCCTCTGTGCAAGCGGCCATCCGGGCACTAGTGATCAATCGTTAGGCTGATGGTCCTCCACATGTGGCCAGTTGAGAAGGTGCTGCTTATAAGACCGAGTTTGTTGCAGCTCCTCACGACTGAAGAAGTCTTTTGGATAAAAGACAAAACATTTAGACAAGAAGAATCTGTCCAGAGGACCTGACTCAACCTTGTTAAACCTACAGCATAAAAACCTTGTAGTGATTTTCTGTCTGACAGTCTGTCTCTTACATCACCTGTGGGTGTGGTTACTGATAGGGTTACTTTTTACAACATTGCACAGTCTGACCATGGGGTGAAATTGCAAGAAAGACAAGTACACTCCTGGGTGGACTGCTGATTGTCTTAAATGTTTTCCACTCGTGAATAACCTTTCTTACTGAGCAAAGATGAACTCCAAATAGTTTGACAATGACCTTTAATCTTTCCCAGATTGACGAGCAGCAAATGATGAACCTCCTGAATCCAGTGGTGAGGTGCACCTAGACCTTCACACACAGCAGTCCCACTTTGGCTTCTTTAATAAACAATGAGATGGAGTATGATGTGTGTTTGTGGTCACTATAGGTTTGAATATATTTAGAACCAGATCATTTGGATGCCCTGAGATGTAAGACATTTGAAGTGGGGAAAAAAGTTTTTTCTTTTATTTATTTAAAACCCTCCTGTGTTTAAAGAACATTTTTAGTTTTGAATCTGAATGGTCCAAACTATTTTCCCTGAAGGCTTTCAAGAGGATTTTTGTAAGGGAGGTTTTTAGGCTAGATGAAATGATTTAACCTTTTTTTTTTCTTGGAAGAGGATCAAGAAGTAACATTTACACATCATAACTGAATCACACCAAAATCCAAATGGATCTTAAACAGAAACTAGACAAGTCTTCAGATGTGTTGTGCTCACTTCAAGTCGTTTAGAAAGCAACAAAATCAGCAAATCGGGTGTTCAGGAGTTTGTTTCAAACCACAACCTGCGTCTCAAACCGCGTCAAAAACACGATGATAGACTTAAAGCCACATGAGAAATCAACGTGTCGGCCTGTCCACTTTCGTTTCGTTCAATGCTGACAGATAAAATCACGTTTTAAATAACCAGTTCAAAATGCTGATGTGTTTATCAGTTATTAACATATCCTACACATGAGCTAACCCCGCTCTTTTTCACGGGACTTAACACAATAATAAAACCACGAGGAGACGACAAAAGGCTTTAACTATGACTTACGGTAAAGTGGAGCGCTTCACTTCCTTGTTTCTGCTGAAGAGTGGTGGAGGGAAGCGGCTTCTACGCTTCCTCCGTGTTTTCTTTCTCTTTTTTTTTAAACTCACAATAAAGTTACAGGTTGTACGTCAGAGTTCATGTCCGGTCGTCGCTGATGTGCTAAGCAGCTGCCCGCCTTCCGTAGTTTGCTTTTTTCTCCTTCTTCTTCCTTTTTTTTTTTTTGTTCTTAGAAAGTGTTGTTCACGACAGATGCGTCGTTGCTGCCACCTAGCGGTCATACTGTCACATTACACAACAGCGCTCAAACAAACAATAAACACATTCTGCTCCACACTCAGATTACAGACTAATCTCCAAATTTAACACAATTTATAAACGTGAAAACTCCCACAACGTGTGTATGCTAATATAAATTACCGTACATTTCATTTCAGTCTGCTGTGACACTGTTCACTTTAAGATGTGAGACGTTCAGGATAGCAATCTCGTGAATATGACGTAATCTCGCGAGATTTGCCGTTCACGTTTTCGAAACTAGTGTGTTCAAAAGGGAAATAAGCTAAAGCTGCTGCCGCTGTGAACGTTGGGTTTATTGATGTGTAAAGTATAAGAATGGTGTTGAGCTGATTTTTGTGGACTAAAGAGCTTATTTTCATAACAAGCAGCCAACAAGGTATTCGTTTTAATTCAAGCTTATCTTTGTTTTTGTCACAGCTAAATGCTAACCAATGCTAAATGCTATGCTATACTTCAGCTCAGTTTTATATTATATACATTTTACCTTAAATTCTTACAGTGTGGTGGTGTGATGATAGGAAGGTGTGGATAAATTATCTTGCTGGAAAGCTTCATGAAGACATGTCTGTGTTAATAAAGGCCAGTTGTCTTATGTCTGACATATCTTATGTCATATCTATATATATATATATATATATATGTCATATATGTTTTATATATATATATATATATATATATATGTCATATATGTTTTATATATATATATATATATATATATATATATATATATATATATATATATATATAATCCATCCATATTATTGCCTTCTAATGAACCTCCATACCATGAAAAAGGCAAGTTTTTGAACTGTGCGCTAATAAGAGGCTGGATCAGTGGTGTAGTCTACGTGATACGCGGGTTTATGGAGTATACCCATTAGGAAAAGCTTAAGAATTTCAGTATCCCCACTTAAAAGTGTCCATTGATACATGACATATCATTAGGTATGTGTTATTGATACGTTACACGACAGTTAAACGCTTCCATAACAATCTATTGGTATGCAGCTCTTGTTTATTACATTCGCTTATCCATCGAATTATTCTATAATTAATACTCCTGTACTTACTAATTAATACTTGAACATGTTATGCTTTTATACCGTTTTATAAAGTCTATAACATGTTTTTAATACAAAGCCAACTGTTGAACAAAGTTTGTTGTTCATTTATTCAAATATAAGCTTCAGAGAAATTTGGAAATGTTCAATATGCTTAAAAATCAAAATAAATTTAGGATTACATTGTACTAACCAGTGTACTTTGGTTTCTAAGCACAGTGTACAGACCGACCACAGTAAAGTTAGTTTTACGTTGGCCGTTCGCGCACCGTGGCTTCACTTGTGTCCAACGTCCTACGTAAAACTTACCGCGGTATACCCACTACAAAAATGTAGACTACACCACTGGGCTGGATGGTCCTTCTCACAGAGGACTTGACATTTGTGGTTTACAAAATGAATTTCAAATTTGATTTGACTGATCGTAAGTTTTCTATTTTACCTCAGTCTATTTAAATGAACTTTGACACAGCATTTCTGGATGTTGCTCACAAATGGCTTCTTCTTCACATGATAGAACTTTACTTGCAATTGTGGATGGCTCTGTACTTTGTTGCTCTTGTCACATCTCTTTTGAGGCCTTAAAACTCTGAATTATCTTATTTTAATTGTATAACTTCTTAGTTTCAAAATTTGACATATTTACTGTGTTTCAATAGAATAAATTATGAGTTTATGAAAAATGCAAATCATTGCGCTCCATTTTTTCATTTTCCACAATGCCCCAACTTTTTCTTTTTTAAATTGGAGTTTATATGTTAAACAATTTGAAATAAATAAATAAAAAACCTAGACAGTGCATTATACTTGATATAAAACTGTCATGGAATTTAATAGTGTGGAGTGTAATCAATCTTAACACAAGACTGTATTGAAAGGGTGAGCCTATGCCTAAAAACCTTACCAGGTGATTAGAGCTGTGTTTGAAGAGTAGCCCTGCTCCCAAACCCAAGTTAACAATTAACTCTGTGTTTGCTGCTGATGTTCAGCAGATGATGCTGATTAAAGCAGAACCTCCTGAAGAATGGAGCTCTGGTATGGACCAGCAGGAACTGGAAGTCTTCAACATAAAGGAGGAAGAGGAGGAACTGTGGACCAGTCTGGACGGAGAACGGCTTAATGTGAAGGAGGAGGCTAATGCCAGCAGCTTTTCATTCACTGCAGGTCCTTTGAAAAGTGAGGATGGTGAAGAGAAACCTCTGTTTTCACAGCTTCATCAGCACCAAGTGGAAGACGGGGACCTTCCAAGCAGCAGCTCAGCTGATCAGATGACAACAACAACTGGTGGAGAGGACTGTGGAGGAGAAGAAACTAGCAGGAACCCAGAACTAAATACTCATGAAGATGATTCCAGCTTTTCAGGGATTGAAGTCAGTGAGGATGATGAGGATAAAGATGGAAAGACTTTTAGTGACTCTCAGCTGAAATGCTTGTCAGCCTCTGGGCCAAAAACTGAAGACAGTGACATAGAATGGAAAGTTCAAACAAGACAGAAATCATTTAATTGTGAAGACTGTGGTAAAATATTTAATAGTAAAGGAGATCTACACAGACACATGAGAATCCACACAGGACAAAAGCAGTTTCCTTGTGAAGTTTGTGGACAAAGGTTTAGCCAAAAGACCATTTTAAACAGACACATAAGAATCCACACAGGGGAGAAACCATTTCTTTGCAACATTTGTGGACTTATGTTTAGACTTATGATACATTTAAAAAGACACATGAGAATTCACACAGGAGAAAAACCATTTCCTTGTGATATTTGTGGTCAAAAGTTTAACCATAAGACAAATTTGAGTACACACATGAGAATCCACACTGGGGAGAGACCGTTTCCATGTGATTTTTGTGAACAAAGCTTCATCAGAAAAGGAGATTTAAACAGACACTTAAGAACCCACACAGGGGAGAAACCATTTCTCTGCAACATTTGTGGACTTATGTTTAGACTTACGATGCATTTAAAGGTTCACATGAGAATTCACACAGGAGAAAAACCATTTCCTTGTGGTGTTTGTGGTCAAAAGTTTAGCCAAAAGTCAAATTTAAACTCCCATTCTAGAATCCACACAAGAGTACAAATGCTTTCTTGTGATGCTTGTGGACAAAAATTTACCAGAAAGGGAGATCTTAACAGACACACAATGGTCCACACAGGACAATAAACATTTTCTTGTGATGTTTGTCGGCAAAGGTTTAGCCTAAAAATACGTAGTTTGAACATACACTCTAGAATCCACACAGCAGAGAAATTCTTCTCTTGTGGTGCTTGCGGACAAAAATTTACAAGAAAGGGACATTAACCACGTAACATGGTCCACACAGGATATAAGCCGTTTCTTTGGAGATTTGTGGGCAAAGATTTGTCAAAAAGGGAGATCTAAAAAACACACAAAAATCCACACAGGACAGTTATTGTTTCCTTGTGACCTTTGTGGACAAATATTTAATAGAAATATATATTTAAATAATCACTTGCAAATCCACACGGAATAAAACAGTAGTTTGCAATGACCCTTAAAACAGCTGAAAGCACACAAATGGGGAAGCACTTCAGCTGTAAAGGCAGCTACACAGAATTGAAATGGCACAGTTCTGGGCTTTGTACAGTAAATAGGAGGAGTCTAATGAGATTAATTCTTGTTGATTTGAAAATTGTCTTGTGAAGCACCATCAAGTTTTCATCAGCATGATGTCCTCAGTTGCGATGAGCACTGAAGTTGTTCCTACTTTAATCAACATGTATTGTAAATAATAGACCCAATGGCCCTGCCTCCTCTCAATGGGAATTGAAGCTAGCAGGGCCTAGTTTACAGAAGCTGCCTCATATTTTTGGACCAGCACCTGGAATATGGGGCTTGACAATGCCTGACATGGACATCCTACAAATACAAAAGGTGGAAGAAAATATTTTAATATTTACGAAGTTTAGCATAATACAAACAATTTTACCCATTTTGTCACATCCATCCATCATCTTTTACTCCCTTCTTCCTTTTCTGATCACAGGGGTCACTGGTGCCCATGTCCAGCAGTCGCTGATGCAAGAGGCGGGGTACACCCTAGACCCTAGATGAAACTCATGTTCTTAAAACAAGACAAACAAAAAAATTGTTCAGTGGTCTTCTTTAGGCCATTGACCTCTCTGAACCCATGAAAGACGACCGTGTTTTTGTCAAAGTACCTACAGATTAACTCCTGTCTGAATAGATGTAATATCCATCAATTTTCCTTTGCGAGATGAGGGCAAGCTGGTGCCTGTCTCCAGCAGTCACTGTGCGAGAGGTGGGATACACCCTGGACAGGTCTCAGGTCCATCAAAGAGCCACATGGAGACAAAAGAAAAAAAATCATCCTAAAAATACACCCAAGTGTCTGCAGGGTCATTCTCTTTATTTCATCCATTAGTCTACTGTCACTGAGATGGTTTTGGTCCAAACATTTCTGCCACTTACGTTGTCTTTTGTACTACCACACCAACTTGTCTCAATACCTGTAAAATTAATTGCTAGAGTCATTTTTATATTTTTTAAGGTCAGTTTTCTGTGGTAGCCATTAAGTTGAGATACTGTATTTAGTTGATGGTCATCCAGTAATTACTTTCCATCTCCATTATCTTATGCCCGCTTCATCCTTTTCAGGTCATGGGGGTCACTGGTGCCCATGTCCAGCAATCACTGTGTGAGAGGCGGGGTACGCCTTGGACAGGTCACAGGTCCATCACAGGGCAATACTTTCTAGGAGTTTTATTTATTTTTTATTTATCCAGTGGTTCAAGAGATATTTTACAAACAGACGCACTCACACAAGTTTATACTGTACATCTATACTTATAACATTGTGTTGACTTCCGTTAATTTCTGTAACTTAACCAGTATCAGTACTTGCCAAATCCTAACCATAACTCAATTCACACCTTAACTAAACTTAACCCCGTACCTGAATATGTGTTCCACCTCATTCAGGTCTGATTTAGGTCCCTAATGAGTCCCCGAGGCTCAATGGGTTTAACCTGTATAAATGAAGGTTGAATGAAAAATGCAGGGATACTCGAACTTTTTTGGTTCAGGGACCTCTTACAGGGGTGAAAAAGTTTCAGGGACCCCCTCATCAGGTCATGCTCAATCAGGTCTCTCTTGTAAATGAGTCCTCGAGGCTCAATGGGATTTACCTGTATAAATAAAGGTTGATTGATCATAACCATCATGTTTATTAAATAATTTTCTTTGTTTTGTCTCTTTAATGCAGTGGAAATATTTGTGTAACATAAATACTTAAGACTGGTTCTTTAATAGTGTTACAATTTTTATACTTTTAAACATGGGGTATTTTTCACTCAAGACACACTTAATAAAAAAATTTAATTTCATCTTCCAAAAACTACAGTTTTGAGAAGATCAAATATCAAAAAAGACTTTAAAATTTTACCTATTTACATAATGAACACTGGGGGTCCGAGGACCCTAGTTTGAGAACAACTGCCTTAGGGCACTTTAGAGGAAACTAAACCACCAGAAGAAAAACTATGCATAGGGTGAACATGAAGACTCCATACAGAGGCCCCTGCCGATTACTGTATGTTTATACCTCATAAATAAAAATTACGCTTTCATTTTTAAAATAAGGGACAGTAAATGGACTTTGATCATATAGCACTTTTTTAGTGTTGATTCGAAACTTAATCAGTTGTAGATTCTCGGTGTGTCTGAGAGATTCATTAAAATCCGTTCAGTGATCCATGAGATATTTTGTTGAATCTTACTGGGCTCAGACTGTTGGTGGAAAATAAAGAGCAGGATTTGTGAGCGAGTTTCCTGAACGTCTTGAAACATGGGGTTCTCCAGTTTCTTCACGTCACTGTACCTCGCTCACTCTCAAGAAGCTTTCGTTTTGAACATGTTTGGAAAGAAATTCCAAGAGAAAAAAAATCCATATTTTCACTTAAAATAGTTTCATTAGCCTCAAACCCTTTTTAATTTAGTTTCTGTAATTCTGGAGCGCTAAGGTTAGATTAACAAAAACCAACATGAATTTGTATAGGTTCAAAATATACGGTGAGCTTCTTCTTTCAGCTGCTCCCTTCTCCCATGGGTGGGGTGAATATGGGTGGAGGCAGGTGCTTCACCTTTCTCACCCACATTTTGAATCCATCGGTTCAGGGAGTCGACTCTGTGGCCTTCTGATCACCTTCTGTGTCACCACTCCCCCTCAACTGAGCATTGTTTAAAAGATTAATTATAATATGTAATATGTACTGTATACTAATATATTGTATAATGTCACGATTTTGTAAGGCAATATATTAAAATATTTTGCACGTTTATGTAAATTTGTCATAATCTTTTTGATTTCGTTTTGTGATCTGTTCCCTTTAAAAAAAAAAAAATCGCCGGAAACGAAATCTCGCGTGAACTTGACCTAATCTCGCGAGATCTGGCCCAGAACCATGAACGTGAGGTGTACAGGAGAAGCAGCTCAGCTCACTTTTAATGATGTTTCATGTTGAAGAAGGATATTAAACTGACCTGCGGATTAAAGAGCCTCTTTCATGACGAGCAGCCAACGAGGTATTTGCGTTTTGTGTAGACTTAGCTTTGTTTTTGTCACAGCTACGTGCTAACTGTTGGCTCGTGCTACTTTACATCTGTGGAGGATGCAAAGCTTCATGAAGACATGTCTTAATGAATCCTGGTCTGAGATCTGAAGAGAGCTAAGATCTGCTCAACATATAACATAACTCAACATAATTTTGCTAAAATTAGAAGCATCTAAAAATGATGCAGAAAAACTGGTTCATGCATTTGTCACGTCTAAACTGGACCATTGTGATGGTTTATTATCTGGGTGTCCAAAAACTTCTTTAAGACGTCTTCAGTTGATCCAAAATGCTGCTGCCAGACTTAACTTTATTTAGTAGGAGAGATCATATCGCTCCAGTTTTAGCTTCTCTCCATTGGCTCCCTGTCAAATCCAGAATAGAATTCAAAATCTTACTTCTAACCTACAAAGCGCTCAACAACCTAGCTCCATCATATATTTGAAATCTTATTGTTCCGTGTTTTCCTAACAGCACTTCGCGCTCAGACTGCAGGCTTACTTGTGGTTCCTAGAGTTTCCAAAAGCAGAATGGGAGGAAGATCTTTCAGTTCTCAGGCTCCTCTCTTGTGGAACCAACTTCCAGTTTCTGTCCATGAGGCCGACACATTGTCCAGTTTAAGACTTGCCTTTTTGATAAATCCTATAGTTAGTAGGGGTGTAACGGTACGCTAAAATCACATTTCGGTTCAGTTTCAGGGAGGGCTCGGTTCAGTTAATTTTCGTTAAAAAAAAAGGCCAAAATAAAGACTTACAAAACGTTTATTTTTAAAATATGCCAAGTAAGCAATACGTTTGTATAAAAATAAATAAAAGCAACCCATTTGGATGATATTTTAAATAAACTGCACTCTTTACAATAAATAAGTAACAATAATAAAAATATTAATAAATACAATAACAGTCAGAACCAGAACAATAAGCAGTAACAGACTGTTTACAATCTAACTAATCCAGTTTTATGTTTTGGGCCAAAAAGACCAACTTGTCCACATTTTCTGCCAAAAGCACAGATTTAGTTGTGGTGACATCATCTCCAGCGGTGGAGAAAACCGCTCACTAGCAACAGTAGCAGGAATAAAGAGGTAGAGCTTTGCTAATGTTGCAGTGTGGCTGGATTTGGCCTCATTACTCACAACCTCTTGGACCTGCTCTCACCTGTCCCTGGAAAAGTTCAGAGTTCAGTCATTGCAGACTTCTTAGCTGGAGGTGATCTCTGGTGGATATCCCTGAAGAGGAGGAAGACTCAGCTGCTATCTCTGTCCCAGACTGGAAATAAAATACAAAGAGGTTTAAAAAAAAAAGTTAAGATAAGATTTTTTTTTTTTTAAGTTAATTAGATAATAATAAAATAATAACTCTTGTTGAACGGTTGTTATGAGGTGGTTGAATCTCTCGGTCATCATCATCAGGGCTTTAATCTGCTCCAGAGCTTGTTGACAATATCAGTTTTAGCTTTTTCATAAAGCGCTGCTACAACTTTTTGGCTGAAGTGTTGACGTGATGGGATGTCGTAGCGAGGCTCAATAACTTCAAAGCCGGCGCATCAACAACATTTGGACGTAGATCCATATCTTTAAAAACTCCTACAGCTTGTGTTATTGCTCTGGACCGATCTGAATGACCTGATAAAGGTTGTTTAAATGCTGCCGTTATCGGTCTTTGCACCAACCAAGCTGCTATTCTGTAGAAGAGATGTTCACATTCGAATGATGTCGTTTCAAGCGCATTAACAAGTTAGACATGTTGCTGCTGCAGATACAATCTTCGTGAAACGTCGACACACAGATTTGGATTTGCGCTCGTCTTTTAACAAGAAAGCCATAATGTTCCCAAACAGGAGACCGCAATGAGATGCTAGAATGCTAATGCTACGCACGCTGCAAGACTATAGCGCCGTGCTGAAACACGCTTAGGAACTTTAGTTCTGCAGCGCATAATCTCTCGTTAATAAAATTTAATGAGTGAAAAAATAACCGAAATGATGCGCACGTGGACTGAACCGAACATGCTGTACCGAAATGGTTCAATACACCCACGTGTACCGATACACCACTAATAGTTAGGGTTGGCTTGTTATGTTGCCATAGGCTTAGACTACTGGACCTAATTTCCTTAAATGAAATAATAAAATTTAATAGTTCTCATTTGATAATATGTCTATCTTAACGTGTGATTCTCTATCTGCCATTGTGTGTTGTGGGGAAAAAAGAGCTTGCTGGTGATAAGATGGCCTCCGGGGACCGTCCTCTCCCCCGTCTGTTTATAGGACTGTTTGTTGGTGGCTCCTCAGATTGAAGAAGTCCTTTGGATGACGAACAAAATGTCTCAGCAATAAAGAAACCCTCCAGATGACCTGACTGAATGTTGTTGGATTTTTACCTGGATTATTGAGCATGAACTTTGATGTTTTGAACCACTTTGACATGACTGCCTTAGAAGAGATGATAGGTGAAAGGGCGGGCCCTGCCCAGAAGCCATCTTATCACCAGCAAATTGTTTTTTTTCCACTATGGGAGTACGCTGTTTGTGGGACTCAGTTTGTTTGGTGGCTCCTCAGATTGAACAAGTCCTTTGGATAAAGGACGAAACGTCTCAGAAAAAAGAAAACCGTCCAGATGGCCTAACTGAACATTGTTGAATGTTCTAAACTCTTAAACCTACTAATTTTAATAACATACTTGTAGCTAATAATTCTGTTTTAATTACATTTAACACAATATCCCAACTTTTTCTTGGAGTAGGGGTTGTTGACAGCACATAGAGAGTGCAGTACACTTGGTAAAAACTGGGTCAAGTATAATAGTGTAGTGTGTGGTCAAACTGTTGAGAGAACGATCCAACGCTAAGAAAGCTTACCAGGTGATTAGAGCGGTGTTTGACGTGTAGCCCTCCTTCCAAATGTAAGTTAACATATTAACTCTGTGTTTCAGTGTTTGCTGCTGATGTTCAGCAGATGGTGTTGATTAAAGCAGAATCTCCTGAAGAATGGAGCCCTGGTATAGACCAGCAGGAGCCAGAAGTCCTCAACATAAAGGAGGAAGAGGAGGAACTGTGGACCAGTCTGGAGGGAGAACAGCTCAATGTTAAGGATGAGGTTGATGCCAGCAGCTTTTCATTCACTTCAAGCCCTTTGAAGAGTGAGGATGATGACGAGAAACCTCTGTTCTCACAGCTTCATCAGCACCAAATGGAAGGCGAAGATCTTCCAAGCAGCAGCAGCTCAGCTGCCCATATGACAGCAGCAACTGGTGGAGAGGACTGTGGAGGAGCAGAAACTAGCAGGAACCCAGAACTAAATGTTCATGAAGATAATTCCAGCTCTTCAGAGACTGAAGTCAGTGAGGATGATGAGGATAAAGATGGAAAAACTTTTAGTGATTCTCAGCTGAAACGCTTGTCAGATTCTGGGCCAGTAACTGAAGATGGTGATGAAGAAAGAAAAGTCCAGACAAGACAGGCATCATGCATTTGTGATGACTGTGGCAAAATATTTACCAGTAAAGCAAATCTTATCAGACACATGATAATCCACACAGGAGATAAACTATTTTCTTGTGATGTTTGTGGACAAATATTTAACCAAAAGGCTACTTTAAACAGACACATGAAAATCCACACTGGAGAGAAACCATTTCCTTGTGCTGTTTGTAAGCAGAAATTTGCTAGAATGGGAGATCTCCACAGGCACGTAAGAATCCACAGAGGACATAAACAGTTTCCTTGTGAAGTTTGTGGACAAAGATTTAGCCAAAAAACAGTTTTAAACAGACACATAAGAATCCACACAGGGGAGAAACCATTTTGTTGCGATGTTTGTAGTCGAGGGTTTAGCGATAAGGCAAATTTAAAAAGACACAGGAGAATCCACACAGGAGAAAAAATGTTTTCCTGTGACGTTTGTGGACAAAGGTTTAGTCTCAAGACAAATTTAAATGCACATGTGAGAATCCACACTGGGGAGAAACCGTTTCCTTGTGATGTTTGTGGACAAAGATTTATCAGAAAAGGAGATTTAAATATACACATCAAAATTCACACAGGAGAGAAGCAGTTTCCTTGTGATCATTGCAGACAAAGGTTTAGCCAAAAGGCGCACTTAAGCTCACACATGAAAATCCACACAAGAAAGAAGACATTTCCTTGTGATGTATGTGGACAAATGTTTAGCCGGAAGACCAATTTAAACAGACACGTGAGAATCCACACCGGACAGAAGCCATTTCCTTGTGATTTTTGTGGACAAATGTTTAGCCAAAAGACAAATTTAAACAGACACAACAGAATTCACACAGGAAACGAAGCAACAATTTGCAGTGACTCATAAAACACAAAAATTCACACAGGTGGGACAGCAGTTTAGCTGTGAATGTAAAGATAGCAACTTAAGACGAGAGTTCTCACAGGAGTGAAACTGCACGGGCCCAGAGGTTGGTGGTAAATAATGCTGTCAAAAACTGCAGCAGTTTGCACTTGCAGAAATAAATAGTAAATGTTTCTACTTTATTTTGTGTTGAGCGTTTCGTTTATTTTGAAATTAATATATGTACTTTTAAACCTTTCTCCAAACACGTCATAGATTTTAGCTGTCAAACTAGTAGATTGGAGCTTGATTCCAGATTAAATACAAACTGACAGCGTTCTCTCTTTTTGTATCCAAATATCAGTGAATCAATCAATAAAAATGTATTTCTAACGGGCATTTTAAAAATGTATTTCTAACGGGCATTTAAAACAACCTCTCAATGACTAAAGTCAAAGACCCAAATGAAAAACATTGCAACGGAAATCTGAGACTGGTATGTTCTCCATCCAAATGGACACCGCACCAGACATCACATCCCAAGCCCAGTGCTCATATGTGACACATCATTCATATGTGACTTGTGGCGGTGATCAGATGTGAAGCATCCACAGGTCAGTACTTTGTCCAGCTTGTAAGAAAGGTGCTTGAGGGCATAAATCTGGATTTGAGACAGTGTATTGGAAGTTCTATAGATGGTGCCTCCTACACGCAGGGCCACTATAATGACCTCTGCTCTTTTGAATGAAAAGTCATCCAATCAGCTCTGTGGGTGATGCTACACACATACTAAACCTTGTACTTTCAGACAACAATGTTTTGGCAAGAGGCTCTGTTTTTACACTGTTAAACAACATTGCTATCTTCATTAGAGAATCCTACCAGAGGATGAGCATTTGGGAAATGCAGATCAAAGATCTAAAACATAGATGAGGAATAAGACAAACACAATGCTGGTCAAAAGACGTTTTGTCAAACGTATTTGGGATTTTTAGAAAGCTCGATGGGTCTTTATGTCCTCCACTATATCAAAGAGGTGAATACCGTCAGCACCACTGCAGTTGTCAATGCAATGGGATACATCACCCAGCTCTTGAAACAGTACTTACAGCCCAGATTTTCTTGAGAATTTTCCATATTACTACACCAGTCTCCAAATTCCTCCAGTGGAATGGACATTCTGACAGCTCATCGGAAGATCGTCGGGGCACAACCACAGCTGAAAAATATGAGCAGAGACATTCAGTAAGTCAAAACAGCAGTGAACACATTTGTCCAGTGGGCCAACAACAGCTTAAATAAAGAAAATGAGCTGGAGGTTGAAACCTCGTTGCCACAAAAACGTGGTAGAAATAAGAAATTCATGCCAGGTGAGATGTGCCGAGATCTCTAAATGATGCCATCACATATAAGATTGATGTCCATAATCAAATCATGGACAGAATTTTAGAGAGCATTCACCAGCGATTTCTCAAAAATGGCACACCATTTGCAAATTTGGCACTTCTCCATCCCAATAAACTTCATCCAGGTAACAGCTTATGCTGGCAGATTCCCAGTCATCTTTCCAACAGCTGAATGTTTCTGGTGCCATTTGAAGACGATGCAACAGTTGTCGACTTACAGAGTGAGCTCATCAGCATGGCAGGACAGGACTTCTGTAGTGGAAGAATATGCAACCAAGAAAACGAAGGAAGGACGACAGCATGATGAAGATGAAGTGGAGATAATTTACAAAAAATTAAAATGTGCCACTTCTGTTTCTTCACAGACTCCTCTTTTCACCGCAGAAAAGTGTATTTGTTCTTTCAGATTTATTTTCCTGTTAGCTTCTCCCTTTTTCAGGTGCCACCACAACAAGTGAACTCATGCAAGGATTTGTTAAGAGTTTTACGCCAGACGTGCTTCCTGACAACCACAGACCACTGAGCTACCACAGCTCTCGTGCGTAGAGCACAGGGCTGTGAGGGATTTTGCTCAAGAGCCCAGAGTGGAGTAAACGAGGGTGGAGGCAGGTGTGAGCGCTTCACCTTTCCCACCCATATTTTTGAGGTTACAGTCAACAGGAGAATACCAATCACAGGTTCACTTCTCTAGCCCATATGTGTCAAACTCAAACGATGTGGCCCTCGCTGACATCTTATCTGGCCCGCAAGATGTTATTTTAAATGTAAAATGCTTTTGTCATTTTAATTTTTTTCAGTGATCTTGGATTATGAGGTCAAAAGTGCAACAGAGAACATCAAATGAGACCAATCAAACTCTTGAGGAACCTGCAACCAAGAAAAGATGTTGAGTATTTAACTTGAGTTAATGTAAATTCTGAAACTGGCCCTTAGTTTGAAAAAGGTTTTAATTTGGCCCCCTTTTGTAAGTGGGTTTGGCACCCCTGCTCTAGCCTATTCATTTTGGTGCAGAGGCTATAAAAAATGTTTCCCTCTCACCTGATTGGCTGCAAGACACTCCGTCAACACAAACCATTGCAGGGGAGAAGCTGAGAGACGTTTAAAGAAATACTATGGGACAACGGGTTTTACTTCTATATTGTGTAGGAAAAAGTGAGCTGAAAAAGGAAAAATTTTATAATTATATATAAAATGCATATGTACAGGTCCTTCTCAAAAAATTAGCATATTGTGATAAAGGTCAATATTTTCCATAATGTAATGATAAAAATGAAACTTTCATATATTTCAGATTCATTGCACACCAACTGAAATATTTCAGGTCTTTAATTGTTTTAATACTGATGATTATGGCATACAGCTCATGAAAACCCAAAATGCCTGTCCCAAAAAATTAGCATATTTCATCCCACCAATGAAAGACAAGTGTTTTTAATACAAAAAACGCCAACCTTCAAATAATCATGTTCAGTTATTCACTCAATACTTGGTCGGGAATCCTTTTGCATGAATGACTGCTTCAATGTGGCGTGGCATGGAGGCAATCAGCCTGTGGCACTGCTGCGGTGTTATGGAGGCCCAGGATGCTTCGATAGCGGCCTTAAGCTCATCCAGAGTGTTGGGTCTTGCGTCTCTCAACTTTCTCTTCACAATATCCCACAGGTTCTCTATGGGGTTCAGGTCAGGAGAGTTGGCAGGCCAATTGAGCACAGTAATACCATGGTCAGTAAACCATTTACCAGTGGTTTTGGCACTGTGAGCAGGTGCCAGGTCGTGCTGAAAAATGAAATCTTCATCTCCATAAAGCTTTTCAGCAGATGGAAGCATGAAGTGCTCCAAAATCTCCTGATAGCTAGCTGCATTGACCCTGCCCTTGATAAAACACAGTGGACCAACACCAGCAGCTGACATGGCACCCCAGTGACTGTGGAAACTTGACACTGGACCTCAAGCAATGTGAATTCTGTGTCTCCTCTCTTCCTCCAGACTCTGGGACCTTGATTTCCAAAGGAAATGCAAAATTTACTGTAATCAGAGAACATAACTTTGGACCACACAGCAGCAGTCCCAGGCGAGATGCTTCTGACGCAGTCTCTTGTTCAAAAGTGGCTTGACCTGAGGAATGCAGCACCTGTAACCCATTTCCTGCACACGCCTGTGCACGGTGGCTCTGGATGTTTCTATTCCAGACTCAGTCCACTGCTTCCGCAGGTCCCCCAAGGTCTGGAATCGGCCCTTCTCCACAATCCTCCTCAGGGTCCGGTCACCTCTTCTCGTTGTGCAGCGTTTTCTGCCACACTTTTCCCTTCCCACAGACTTCCCACTGAGGTGCCTTGATACAGCACTCTGGGAACAGCCTATTCGTTCAGCAGTTTCTTTCTGTGTCTTACCCTCTTGCTTGAGGGTGTCAATGATGGCCTTCTGGACAGCAGTCAGGTCGGCAGTCTTACCCATGATTGAGGTTTTGAGTAATGAACAAGGCTGGGAGTTTTTAAAAGCCTCAGGAATCTTTTGCAGGTGTTTAGAGTTACGTTGTTGATTCAGATGGTTAGGTTAATAGCTTGTTTAGAGAACCTTTTCATGATATGCTAATTTTTTGGGACAGGCATTTTGGGTTTTCATAAGCTGTATGCCATAATCATCAGTATTAAAACAATTAAAGACCTGAAATATTTCAGTTGGTGTGCAATGAATCTGAAATATAGGAAAGTTTCATTTTTATCATTACATTATGGAAAATAATGACCTTTATCACAATATGCTAATTTTTTGAGAAGGACCTGTACATATGCATCAAATGCATATACATATGCATTTGATGACTAAAAGCAAGATAATCTGTAAAACAGTAATGACAGCAAGGCAGCATGATGGATCAGTGGTTAGCACAGTTGTCTCACAGCAAGAAGGTCTTGGGTTCAATCCCCGAGTTGGGTTTGAATCTTTATGTGTGGAGTTTGGATGTTCTCGTATTCATGTGGTTTTCTCCCGGTATTCTGGTTTCCTCCCACAGACCAAAAACATGCATGTTAGGCTGACTTCAGGCCCTAACTTCCCTTCTTAAAGAGATATGTGATCTCAAGCCTGGTTAAATAAAGGTTAATAAAATAATAAATACAAATAAATTTCCAAACCAGTGTTCAGACATTCAGATGAAGTGGGTGTCATCTTTTGGCCAACCCTAAACATTGCAAGTTTTACTATTCAAAATGAAAATTTTAATAAAAAAAAAAAGTAAGAATTTTAAAAGGCATTCTTAAAATTATACAAAATATGGATTGAATTTGTTGTTTTCACAATTGTGAAGACAAACATCTTGAACTTTGAAATAAAGAGGAACTTTAAGAACTTTTATTCTGTTAGTGAAATAATTTCAAACAGTCTCCTAAGGTCAAACTGTAAACGCAGTTAAAATTAGATGTTCATAAGAAACCATCCAGAGAACCTGACTTAACTCAAAATTTGTTTTCTCAGTCATCCAGGTATATAACAACAAAAAAGGTTGAATCATATCATCTGGACTTCGTTTTTTTGTTAAAAAGAAACGTTTCGCCCCTCATCCAAGAGGCTTCGTCAGTCTGAGGCCTAGCCATCTGGTATTACCCAGAAGCCACCCTGACTCTTGTGTTTCAAGCCTGCCTCAGATACCCCTGAAGTCTGGCC